CATAATATTTTGTTGCCTGCATTTCTTCTCCTTGAAGATAAGATATGGGGCATTAAAATAATTTTATTTATTCATGTACAATATCAGATTGCAGGAAGTTTTTGTAATTTATGCAGTGTTACATTATTATCACCTGCTACAAAATTGTTATGAATTACATAATACATATATATGAATAAAATTAAATATACACCCACAAATTCTGATGTCAAGAGGTCTACTGGTGAAGTGACCATATTCCCTTGATAAAAATATTTAAATGCACTATAAATTATCTTAGAATTATTTATGTTAAGTTTTAAATATGACATTTAGGTACGAAATTATGTAAATATATTGAAAAAGTATATGTATTTAAATAAAAATTGACTCATAATCGTGGTCATCAAAATAAATTGAGATTTGATTCATGTTCTAATTTCTACTATAATTTATTTCATACCTAGATGGACGAATAACCCATATGAATACATCAAAATAACCAGCAAAATTGTTGTTTGGCAAATCTAACCATTAAAAAATCGTATTTTTTAAAATATGTGCATACTATCAAATTGAAATGTCAGATTCTATAAAGCAACACACAAATAAAAGTACGATATTTTATTATATAAATATATATACATTATTGTTAGAAAAAATATGAAGAATTGACTCCTCTAACAAGTTGTATTACAAAATATATTTGCACTCCTTAGCCTGATACTATAATGTATTGGCAAATGATGGCACTGTTGATTGGTTCTTTGTACTTGGCTTTAGGGAAACAAAAGCATAAAGATGTAAAGAATTTGAGCATGGAAAAGAAAACTCACTTACTTTATTTTATTTTATTTAAATAAAAAAATATTAACCTAGTGGCATATATAGGGTTATTGATTTTTCTATTTGAATTATATAAGCCAAGCCCACAATGAAAATGATAGAATTAGAGTACCATTTGCCATTTGGTAATAGANCAAATTTGATTATTCTATTTTACTTTCTTTTCCATGTTGTGTGATCTAAATAATATATCATTCATTATTTATAATTAGCTCGACTTTGGTGAAATAAGAAATTCAGAAAACTAAGTGGCAATTTTATGACCAATTCAAGGACATAATTGTAGGAGCCCCAATTGCAGTTTTCATTCTTCGGAAATTGAAAATGGAAATTTCACTATCTACACTAGTTATTAGACTAAATACTATCCCTGTTTTTTATTTTTATTTTTGCAAAGTACATTTAATCATAAAAATAATTAATTACATCAGGTAGCAATTTCAGTGCACTAATTAAACTGTCACTACAAGGATGCGATGAAATTTCAATGGAAATATATTCTAATAGAATTTCAACGTCAATTCCGATGGATATTCAAATGTTATTATTTCCGTTGGTATTTTCCAATAGATTCCAACGAAATTCCAACCAAAATATTCTGTTAGAATGGGTTTTCCATTGGAATTTGTATTGGATTTTGACGATTTCGACAGTACATTTTCCATCAATTGAAATATGGGTGAAAAATAAAAATTCCAACGGAAATTGCTACAGTAAAAAACCGTTGGAATAATGACCGTTTAAATGATAAATTCCATCTAAATTCCAACGAAAAAACTCATTCTAACGGAAGCTCTACCATTGGAATGTCCATTTGAATTTTCATTGAAATATATTATCGTAGGATTTTCAGTTGGAATATGACATTTTTTCAGTTTTAAAAATAAATAAATTTAGTGGATCGAAATTGCTACTCCCAAAGTTAATGGACTAAAATTATTATGTTCAGAAAGTTAATGGACTGTTTTTGCAATTTTCCTTGCAACTTAAATGAAATAATGAAGTCAAAATATATACACGTGGGGTCAGATCATTGTCAACTTAGAGGCCAAACCTTTCAACTGCAATTTGTTCTATTT